TGCGGGTGGTGGACCTGGTGAACCACGAGACCGGCTCCGTCACGCGGGATCTGACCCGCCCGGCGAACGGCCGTCTGCACGTGGACGCCTCGCAGGCCTTCCTGAAGATCGACTTCCGCAGCCTGGACCTGTCCCAGGTGGACTCCATGACGGTGACGGCGCATAAGGTGAACGGCCCGGTCGGGATTGCCGCGCTTTACCTCCGCGGGCTCGTGTGCAACAAGCAGATCCGTGGCGGGTCGCAGGAGAAGGGGATTCGGCCGGGGACGGAGAACGTCCCAGCGATTGTCGGGTTCGCGACGGCACTGGAGCTCGACCGGAGTGGCTCGCAGTGCCGCGAGATCGAGGCGTACATCGTGAAGGAGCTCGAGGCGGTGGGGTGCGAGATTAACCGGCGCGGCGAAACGAGTGGCTACATCGTGCACGCGACGCTGCCGGAAGGGTACAACAACACGGAGGTGGTATCCTTGTTGTCGACAAAATACCGCGTCGAGATCGGCACAGGATCGGCGTGCAAGACGAACGTCCTCAACACCACTGTCTATGATACGCTTGGGAAGGAACCTCATCCAGAACGCTCAATTCGTTTAAGTTGGGATGATTTCAATACGATGGAAGAGGCGAAGCACGTGATCAAGGCGTTTCGGAAAGTGCTTGCAGAGAAGAAACCCTCACGTCGTTGAGGTGTCTGCAGTTTTTTTTTCCGATGTATATATTTTATGATTCATCCATTCTCTTCTGAAAGTAGCAAAAAAAAGACCCCTTAAAACAAACTAGGAAACTTTATGAGGTTGTGATTGTATTTTATCAAAACCTTGGCATGCAACCGTTGGAGATAAGCTTAAATACATTTTTTTCGTAATCAAAAAAAAAAGAAGAAGAGTATCACGCTTAAATTAGATACATCTTCGACTTTTTAAGTACTTAATTTTTTGAGCGTGGTAGCATATGTTTCATAAAACTTTTTGAGCAACACGGCCGACGGTTTTCCCTTTTCTCATCGTCATTAGCCCCGGGCTCAATGGGTAACACACTATGTCCTTAGCTTTTCGACATTTACTCCTGTGCATTTAACACCATCTACATATGCGTGGAAACCACCTTTTTTTCTGTAATAACATTGTTCGTTTTTAAGACACTAATCCTGATAAACGAGCACATCTAGATATATTTAACACGTATGTTGTTGTTATTCTTTGTGACGTCTTTGTATATTTCATGGGAGTGAAGAGTGGGATGCTGGGTTTGCTATTTATTTCCTTTCTTCTCAAAAGGGGTCATTACAATACCACAGTGAAGGGAAGAAACAAACATTGACTAAGTTGACGCATGCTTTTCAGATGACGAGGTCAATCGCTTTTCGAGGCATCGACAAGCTCTGCAGGAGGTTGATAGCGTGCAAAGCGAATAATGCCCTCGTGGAAAAGGTCATAGGGGAAGGTATCCGGCAGCGAGTCGTCGATGCGGATTCCCTGCCGCTAATTGCCCAACGGCTATCCACAACGCATGGGGAGTGGGTTTTAGCGCTTGAGGTGCTCGCAAGCGAGCGATTGGATAGGCATGGAATTAGGCGTGATGATAACATATGGAAAATAATCGAGTCTGGCGTACCGGATGCAATGGAGAGCAAGGCGGCAGCGGCAGCATCACTTCGGAAGATTTACGGGAGAAAAATTGCATCCCTTAATTACCCTGAAAGGGGGAAATAACTCGTCACCTCTATGGCTCTCTTACTTGAGGATGAGTAATAATTCGATTTGTGAAATGGAAATGGGGCGATTAGAAGAGATACAGGACGAGATAGTGTGGATTGTGTTCTAAGCACCTCATCTGCTGCAAATGAAACATATCACATTGTATTTTATGTGATGATGATTGAGTCACCGTTTAGAATTGTGCAAATGCATTGTGTTCGTATTTTAATTTACTTTGGTCATTGTCAAGTATGATATCGTCCTGTTCGGCGTCTTTTAATCTTGCGTGGGTAGATAAATGGGCAGACAAATCATAACTAAATAATTAAAAAAAGCACGCTTACGTCATCAGCGTCTTCATAGATATCATCCATACATAAATAGCGATATCAAGATCATTTTAACCCCAAAGCCCCCCCCTTCTCCCCCTTTTGGTCGGGTTCGATGAAAAGCGGCACGCCGCCGGAGCGGCACCCCACGCCGTGGGGGCTGATCGGCCGCCCCCCTATCCACCCCGACGCCTACCTCCGCGAGGACCTCTGCTTTCAGATGTTGGAGTGCTGCCAGACCAAAGGCCCCCCTCTCGAGCGAATCTCCCGCGTTCTCCACTCGGAGGTGCCGATCGTCCGTCTTTACGGCGTTACCGCGCGTGGGGAGAGCGTGTTAGCGCATTGCTACAACTACGAGCCTTATTTATGGGTGGAGGCGCCCCCAGGGTGGGTGCCCGCGTACGCCGGGATCTTTCGCGGCAAATTAAACGCGTATTTTCTCGCGCAAGGGATGCCGGAGGCGGTGGTGCGCGTGGAGCTCCACCAACGGCGGAGTGTGATGTTCTTCGCCGAGGCAGGGCTCACCCCACATCTACGGATCGTCGTGCAGCTCCCACAACACATCCCGAAGCTGCGGGTGTTGCTCTCGGAGATCGGGGTGGAGTGCGCGGAGGCGTGGGTGGGGATTCGGACTTTTCCGACCTTTGAAAGCAACGTGATCTTCCCGCTGCGGTTTCTCGTGGATAACGAGATGGGCGGCTGCAACTGGGTGACCATCCCGCGTGGGGAGTTCATCGCGTACGCGTGCAAAACGTCCACCTCGCAGATCGAGATCGCCTGCTCGCACGAGGCGGTGCACAATCACGAGCCGACCGGGGCGTACCTCTCCATCGCGCCGTTTCGGATTCTCTCCGTGGATATTGAATGCCAAGGCCGGAAAGGGCTCTTCCCGGAGCCGGAGCAGGATCCGGTGATTCAGATTTGCAATCACTGCGTGGAGTACGGCAACGAGGCGGCGCCGCTGGCGAAGGCGGCGTTTTGTCTAAAAAGCTGCGCACCGATCGCGGGGGCGAACGTGTACGCGTACGAAACTGAAGCGGAGCTACTGTTGGCGTGGGTAAGCTTCTTAAAGACGCTGGATCCGGATATTTTGACGGGGTATAACATCTGCAACTTTGACTTTCCCTACCTGCTAAGCCGTGGCACTGCGCTGCGTGTGGAGCGGCGTTTTCACTTTTGGGGGCGCCAAATTCACGAGTGCACGATCGCCCGGGATAAAAAGTTTCAATCCAAGCAGATGGGCAACCGCCGGTACACGGAGATCACGTTGGAAGGGCGGATCGTGATGGACGCGATGGTGGTAATCCAGCGGGATCACAAGCTCCGCTCGTACTCCCTCAACGCGGTATCCCAGCACTTCCTTGGCGAGCAAAAAGAGGACGTCCACCACTCCATCATCGCGGATCTCCAGCAAGGCAACGACGAAACGCGCCGGCGATTGGCGATTTACTGCTTGAAGGATGCCTACCTCCCGGTGAAGCTGCTGGATCGCCTGATGTGCATCGTCAACCACGTCGAGATGGCGCGGGTAACCGGGGTGCCGATCGGATGGCTGCTCGAGCGCGGGCAACAGATCAAAATCTTCTCCATGCTTCTCCGAAAATCGCGAAAACGAAACCTGGTCATCCCTTCCATGGAGTACGGCGGCGGAAACGATCACGGCTACGAGGGCGCGACGGTGATTGAGCCGATCAAAGGGTTTTACAACTGCCCCGTCGTCACCCTCGACTTCGCCTCGCTGTATCCGTCCATTATGATCGCACACAACCTTTGCTACTCGACGTTGGTGCCCAAGCGGAACGTCGGGGCGTACCCCCCTGAGATGGTGGAGCGCTCCCCGAGCGGGGATGTGTTTGTCAAAAAAGACGTCTTCCCCGGGGTGTTGCCGGAGGTGCTGCAGGATTTACTCGCGGCGAGGAAACACGCGCGCGCAATGATGAAGGATTGGCCGATGCATTCCCTGGAGTATAAAGTCCTGAATGGTCGTCAGCTCGCGCTGAAGGTGAGCGCGAACTCCGTCTACGGCTTCACCGGTGCGCAGTTCGGTAAGCTGCCGTGTTTGGAGATCAGCTCCTCCACGACGGCGTATGGACGACAGATGATTGAGCAGACGAAGAACCTCGTGGAAGAGTTATACCCGACGACGAAGGTGCTTTACGGGGATACGGATTCCGTCATGATTAAATGCCTCACCGACGAAAACGCGCCGGATAAAGAACGGCTGCAGGTCGCGATGGATTTCGGCAAAACCGCCGCCGATTGCGTTTCTAAGCACTTCCTCCAGCCAATCAAGCTGGAGTTCGAAAAGGTGTACTTTCCCTATCTGTTGATGAACAAAAAGCGCTACGCCGGATTGCTGTGGACGAACACGGCGAACTACGACAAGCTCGACGCCAAAGGAATCGAAACGGTGCGGCGGGATAACTGCCCGCTCGTCGCGCGCGTGATCTCCGGCGTGCTCAACCGCATCCTCATCCACCGCTCGGTTGAGAGTGCGGTGGAGTTCGTGAAAGGCACGATCAGCGATCTCCTGCTTAATCGGTTGGATATCTCGAATTTGGTGATCACCAAGGCGTTTTCGAAGTGGGAGGACGAGTATGTCGGGGCGCAGGCGCATATTAAGCTCGTCGAGCGAATGCGGCAACGCGATCCGGCGTCGGCCCCGACCATCGGCGATCGCGTCGCGTACGTCATTATTAAAGCCGAAAAAGGCGCGAAGGCCTACGAACGAAGTGAGGATCCGATCTACGTCCTGGAAAACAACATCCCGATCGATACGCAGCACTACCTCGAGCATCAACTCGCGCAACCCTTGCAGCGCGTCTTTGAGGCCGTCCTGGACGACCCGCGAATTCTCATCCATGGCGATCACACCCGCCATATCGCGATCGCGGCGCCGAGCAAAACCGCGAGTGGGCTGATGAAATTCGTGAAACTTCACGCGCAGTGCGTCTCCTGTCGTGCGATTCTCAAAGACGAGGAAGGGGCGTTGTGCGCGAGCTGCAGCGATCGCGCGCCGGAGGTCTACGGCCGGATCGTCGCCAAACGCAACCACTACGAGGCGATCTACGCGCAGGTCTGGACGCAATGCCAGCAATGTCAAGGCTCGCTCAATCAGGAGGTGATCTGCACGAGTAGAGATTGCCCGGTGTTTTACGCCCGCAAGAAGGTCCAAAAGGATCTGTACGAGCAGCAAAGCCTGCTCGATCGCTTCGGGGTGGTCAATGATTGGTAGAAGGGGAGAGGGGCAGTCCATTTTTTTACTGCCATATATATCTATAGAAAAGAAAATAAAAGACATATAACGATATAGTGGCGGATTCATAGATGGAACATGAAAAGGTGGTAACTCTAGAGTGGGTACAGTCTTTTTCAGCTTATCTTTTTTTTTCTACTCACCCTTTGTCTCTTTCATAGAAGAAGAGATTCTTTTACTTGGTCCTATAAATCGTATTGCTGTTATTTTTTTTTACCTAGTGAAGGAAAGAAGGAAACAAAGGTTGAACCATTTGATTTTCCTTGAAGAATTTACTACATCCAATATATGCACACACGCACATATATATATATAAGCTACTCGAGGAGCATCCCATCTTGTGCTAACTCGGGGTTTTTAATACACGTTTAAATGAATTTTTCCCCGGTTTTGGGTCTTTATTTACATGTGGATTGTTTCACTCTTTCGAATGCAGTGGGTAACTTTTTATCGATTCGTTTTCTCCTGATTATCCCGCAATATACTTATCTATAAATATTAAGTAAAAAAAAAAAGGTGCTAACACAAAGGAACGCGCGATGTCAGATTACAGGAAAATACGGCAACGGCAAGATCTTTACACCGTGACGGAATTTGAGCGGGAAATTAACGATCTTGCGGCGGATGATCTCTACGAACAGATACTTTTCCGCTACATCCGAAACGGCGAGGATCCGAACAAGGAAGAAGTTGTGGAGGTGTTCGAAGGCTACGTCGAGCCCTCCTATGACCCTGTTGAAGGGGCGAAGGTCGCGGCGAAGCACCGGGAATTTCTCCAAACGATCCATCGCGAGCGCGAGGCCATCGTGCGCGCGCTACGCTCCTGCCCGGAGCACCAACAACGGAGTCTTTTCGATCGCGTTTTATACGAAACGGAGTACTGCACCGGGGTGCGGGAGTGGGAAGGGGGAAGTGCGCCGGGCACTAATCGCAAGTTTCGCCACGTCATGCGCGAATGCGATACGAACGAGGATTCGATCGAGTTTGACGTCCCGCGGCTGACGGAGACGCCGTCGTACATCCGCGGCAAACTCCGGCCGTACCAAATCGAGGGTGTGAATTGGCTCGTCGGGCTCTTCTCCCGCGCGGTGAACGGGATTCTCGCGGATGAGATGGGGCTCGGGAAGACGTTTCAGACCATCGCGATGATTGCGTATCTGAAATTCACAGTGGGGTTGCCCGGGCCGCATCTGGTGGTGTGCCCGAAGTCGGTGATGGGAAATTGGCATCGGGAGTTCCGGCATTGGTGCCCTGCCCTGTCGGTGTATAAATTTCACGCCCCGAGCGATCTACGACCGATGCTCATCAAATCCCACTTTCACCCGCCCGATAAACTTCGCCACGACGTCATCGTCACGACGTTTGAGATGGTCCTGGAGGAGATCCAAGCGTTTAAGAAGATTCACTGGCAGTACCTCATCGTGGACGAGGCGCACAAAATCAAAAACGAAGAAGGCCGCGCGCATACCCTTTTGGATTCCCTGGATACCTCCCACCGCCTCATTATCACCGGAACGCCGCTCCAAAACAACCTCAAGGAGCTGTGGTCGTTGCTGCATTTTCTCTCCCCACGGCTCTTTCACACCACGGATACGCTGGAGGAGTGGTTCGACTCCTCCAGCGGTCATCAAGACGCGGAGGTGATGTCGAACATGCACAAAATCCTCGCCCCGATGATGATCCGGCGGATCAAATCCGAGGTGAACACCGGGATCCCCCCGAAAAAAGAGATCTACGTCTCCTGTAAGCTCACCAAAACGCAGCGGGAGTGGTATATTCGCATCCTCGCCAAAGACTCCGACGCGCTTAACCGCGCCTCCAGCAGCACGAGCTACCTAAACTCCGTGCTGATGAATCTTCGCAAGGTCATCAACCATCCGTATTTGATGGATGGCGCTGAGGAAGGGCCGCCGTTTATCACCGACGAAAAACTCGTGAAAGTCTCCGGCAAGATGCTCATTTTGGATAAGCTGCTGCATCGCCTAAAAGAGGATGTGGAAGGGCGGCATAAGGTCCTCATCTTCTCGCAATTCACGACGATGCTGAACATCCTGGAGGATTACTGCAACATGCGTGGCTTTCGCTACTGTCGGATTGACGGGAACTCCAGCAGTTACGACCGCGACTCGCAGATGGCGAATTTTAACGCGCCGAATAGCGAATCCTTCATCTTTTTGCTCTCCACGCGGGCAGGCGGGCTGGGGATCAACCTCCAGGCCGCGAATCACGTCGTGATCTACGACTCGGATTGGAACCCGCAGATGGATCTCCAGGCCCAGGATCGCGCGCATCGCATCGGGCAGAAACGCAGCGTGCGCGTCTACCGTTTCGTAACGGACGGCACCGTCGAGGAGCGGATCTACCGCCGCGCGCTGAAGAAACTTTATTTAAACGCGATTGTCGTTCAGCAGGGGACCCTGCGTTCAGGGGGAGGGGGGGGCGCGACCGCGTCGAATGCCGTTTCTCGTGGGGAACTCCTTTCGATGATTCGATTCGGCGCGGAGGAGATCTTCCGCACGCGGCAGGTCGACGTCACCGAGGCCGATATCGACCGCCTCCTCGACGAAGGGGAGGTCAAATCCACCCAACTCAACAGCGAAGTGAAGCAAACCGTGCAGATGTCGCTCTCGAGCTTCGAGCTTGGCGCCGAGGAGGCGAATATCTACGATTTTGAAGGCCTTTCCTTCCGCGCCGGGGTTGAAACGCGAATGTTGCATCTGAAGCTCCCAGAGGCCGTCGCCCAATCCACGTTGCAGCAGCAATGCGCGGAGTACGGCGAGGTCCTCCGCGTCGTCCTCCACCCCAACCTCCATGAGGCCCTTGTGCAGTTTCGCACGTTAAACGGCGCGATCGACGCCCACGCCGGGTTGCCTTATGAATCTTCTTTCGCGAATAAAGAAACGCAAACGATCGTCTCCGGGGAGATGATTTCGGCCGGGTTGGAAACTGGCGAGAAGCTCGGGCGTGGCCACCGCACCCGAGGCGTCATCGCGCATTACACCGAGGCCGAGGTCGAGCAGCTCCAGACGAAGGCGACGAAGGCGCCCCCGCTGAAGCTGCCGAAACCCCCCAAATTCCCGCCCTTTCAGCTTTTTAACCAACGCCGCCTGCTCGAGCTGCATAACACCGAGGTCGGGTTGATGGTGCAGAATTGGAAGCGAAAGTACGCCGACGGGAATGGCAACGGCAACGGCAATCCGGAAGGGGAGGAGGCTGGAGAAGGGGAAGGGGAGGCCGCGGAGGAAACCCTCACCGCCGCGGAGCAAGACGAACGCGAGCGTTTGCTTCGCGATGGCTTTCCTAACTGGTCCTCGCGGGAATATCGCCGTCTTCTGCAACTTCTGATCACTGGCGAGGTCGAGCTTCACGACCACGTCGCCCTCGCGGCGGGATTGGGAAGTCCGGAGAAAACCCCTGGGGAGGTTCGCGATTACCTCACCGCCCTCCTCGACCGTGGCGAGCAGTGTATTCCGAGGTTCGATAAGATCGAGAAGCGAATTCATTCCGCGCAAGCGCGGATCGCCGCGCGACGCGATCTCCTCCGCGCGGCGCGGTGGAAAATCGAAGGCTACGACGACCCCGAGCAGCAGTTGAGCTTCCCGGGGAAACCAGCCTTGCCGGAGCTGCAGCGGCGGATTTTTCTCCTCGGCTACGATACCGGATTCGCGACGGAGGAGATCGGCAAGCGGATCCGCGCGCTTCCCGAGAACGCCTTTAACGTGTGGTTTCGTTCCCGCACGGATTACTTCTACGCGACCTGCCTCCATCGCCTGATGCGCGCGGTGAAGCGGGAGTGGGAGCGGGAAACAAGGGAGGGCGGGGAGAGCGAAAGGGAGCACCGGCGGTTTCGCACCGAGCGGGTTTAGCACCGGCTGATTCCTACTTTATCTCCATTATGTATATTTATATCTATCTATCTATATAGATATAGATATATGCGTATGTGCGAGGGGATGTGGGGAGGAAAAGGGGGTGCGTGTGATATATATATACCTTAACCTAACGATTTTGGTTCACTTACTTATTATAACTGCATAGAGGAAGCGATGTACTTCAAGATAGAGGAATTAGGGAATAGATCAGTTCATATGAATATTAGCTGTGGTGGTGGTTTTGGAGCCCACGTAGACCGTGGTAACTAAACGTCTGCACTCGGTGTGTGAAAGCCCACTAAGAAGGTGTCCGTTGACACTCATACGTGTTCCCCTTCCTTTATAATAATGTCTGTGTGTGGAGTACAAAGATTCGGCTATTCACGTTGGAGAATGAGGCGGCATCGTTGAAGGATGCGCTTAAATCGAGGGATGTGGCATCACCTATCCATTTCTCCCACCTACCCCTTTAAAAAAAAACTTTCAATCAAGTTATTTATTTCCGCAAAAAGGTTTCTGCAAGCGGAATTTTCATTCGCTTTTCGTTTTCACATGGATGAATAAAAATCAAAACACATACACTTCTAGATAACCCGTACATTGATTAAGCTAATTGCCGTTGTTATTGCTATTAGTATTATTAGTTGGTATTTGTGAACCAGTTCTATATAGAATATTGCACTCACTTCAATGTCACCCGAGAAGGATGATTTTGACGATAAAGACAGCGATCTTGCCACAAGGCAACGATCCAAAGGGCTTGAACAGAAGCTTCCCGCAATGATTGGTCGGCATATAGTCTTGGGGCATGTACTCGGCAGTGGGGGCTTCGGCAAGGTCTACTTTGCTTGTGATCGGAAGAATAATATGAACGTCGCGGTGAAGATAATCGACAAGGCAATAGTGAAAAGACAGGGCACGCAGGAATACGTCGAACGCGAGATTGAGATGATGCGTAAAATCAATAACAAGCATATCGTAAAACTTTTAGACGCGATCGAGACCTCCAACGCGTATAACCTGGTGATGGAGCTCGCGCCGAATGGGGAGTTGTTTGACAAGATCGTGGACTCCGAGCGCTTCGACGAGAACGTCGCGCGGAAGTACTTCCAGCAGCTGATTTGTGCGGTGCACTACTGCCATGGGATGCACATCGCGCATCGCGATCTCAAGGCGGAGAACCTCCTGCTTGGGGAAGGCAACGTCCTGAAAGTGTGCGATTTCGGCCTCTCCCGCTATACCACCGAGGGGGTTTTCAATGACAACGCCGTGATGCTGACGTCGTTGGCGGGGAGTCTGGATTACCAGGCGCCGGAGATGCTGAAGGAGCGCGGCTACGAAGGCTGCGCGTGTGATATGTGGAGCTGTGGGTGCATCCTCTTCTTCATGCTCTGCAGCTACCTCCCGTTCACGGACCGCTCCGACGGGCTCACGCGGAAACGCATCCTGAGTGGGCAGTACAACCGTCGAAACCGCTTCTTGTCGGAAGGCGCCGCGGTGTTGATCGAGCACCTCCTCGAGCGCGACCCCGCACGACGTTATACCACCCAGGATGTCATTCGAAACGAGTGGTTCGCGCAGGATCTCGACCCTCGGTTGTTCCCGGACGCGGGGCTTGGGGAGGTGGGCGCCCCAGGGAGTCCGCCGCCGTCGGGCGAGGGATGGCAGCCGCGGGTGCCCTTCTCCCCGGACGCGGCGGGCTCGCCAGAGAGCCCGTCGATGTCGCCCACCTCCGAGAAGGCGATGGAGCTTCACCAGGCCTTCCTCAGCTGCAACGTTACGAAGGACGGGTTCCTCTCCAAGGAGCAGGTCCGCGACGCGTTGATCAAGCTCAACGGGGAGAAACCGGTCTCGGAGGAGAAGGTTCGAGACTTTATGAGCTACTTCAACCTCGACAAGGAGGGGCGTATCACCGAGGAAGACTTCGTCGTGGGATGGACCCAGCATCAGAACCAGCTCGGGAAGAAGTACGACCTCGCGAAGATGGTGAACCTCTTCCATTACGACCTCGAGAAGGAGTTCCTGGAGGAGATCCGAAAGGCCTTCGACTCCATCGACACCCAGAACAGCGGGCTCATCACGCGGAAGAACCTCACCGCGCTCGGCATCGACTTCACCGAGGAGGAGATCAAAACCCTCCTGGAGTCCATCGATCCCGACCACAAAGGGAAACGGCACATCACCTTCGAGCGCTTCGTCGGGATGTGCTTGCGGTACGACTTGCTTAAGAATCACCCGCTCGCGGTTCGTCTTCGTCATCTCGACAATTTGTTTGATTTTACCGAGCACCAATCGTTCAAGACGTACTTGAACACCGGCTACACCGTCGCGGGCCCGCGGGCGGTGATTAAAGTGCAACTCCTGGCCAAACAAGAATCGCTGGCAACGAAATTCGAAGAAGGGGACGCGTACGGCTTTTTGTACGGAACCCACACGATAGGCGGGCGAAAGGTGCTGGAAGTCGGCGTGCGTTTGCTGCCAGTAGTGGAAGGCTACACCAAGGTGCTTGTATATCGTATTAGGGGGAAGACGAAGGACTTTCATAGGTGGTTTTTGAACCTTCGCAAGGCGATGAAAGATGAGTTGTTGCGGTGTGAAGAGGACACCGCGGTAGAAGGCGAGCCGGAGCTTATGTAAAGAGATAGGAGGGGGGGAGGAGGAATGAAAGGTCCTCCACATTTTCAGAACCTCCGTGATACGATGTGACGCCATGTTCGCAATCGTATCGCCCTCAAATTTCTGTGTATTTCATTGCAAAAAAAAAAAGAAAAAGAAGAAACGCTTTCCAAGCAAAAAAAAAGTGTCCCTTATATGAATGAAAAGGCAAATAATTGCTGAACGTTGGGACTTTTGAAGTGAGAAGAGGACCATTATGGTTTGTATGTACACGCATTCATCCCTTTTGGTAAAAGAAAAAAACAGCAGTAAAAAAAATCAAACTATTATGGAGATCCTACACCCGAAGGGCGAGGGAGGTGAATAAGAAGGTCTAAAACTTTGATTGGAATATTCTGTTGTATGAACCGCGATCTCCTTTTGGGGGAAACTTATTTTCCGTTCCTTTTGTTGCCGTGCTGAGATGCGGGTGTTCTAAACTTTCGATCGGATGAATCAAAAAAAAAAAAACTAATCCTCATCATCGTTGTTCGGGAACGGGAAGGCCTGATTGGGCTGTGACATGATGTGCATTTGAATGTCCGATTGCGACGCCTATGGGATTCGGCCTCTTCATTTGTATATTTATTCCTAGTAAGTAGTAGGAGTAGTCATCGTAATCGTATCGGTATTATTTGTGTCATTCGTAATATTCGTATTATTACGGGCTCCATTGGGTCACTGGATACAACGCGCGATCTACCAGAGAAACACACACCTCACCCTTTTTTTGTTTTTTTTTTTTCGAGGGGCTTCACCGAGGGGGGTGTGGTTCGTGCGTGCGATTAGGTAGGGGGGGGGGGGTGTTGTTTTTTCAAGCCGTTCCACCTCGGCTTTCGATCTTTTCTCCCGACCGCTGTCGGTGATCCCATCGTGTGAGGGGGCGAATTCGTGGATGGATCGCAGCCTCCCGGCCGGGCC